ACTTTAAAAGCACAACTATAATGACGTGGGAAAATACCCGAACAAAGTAGAATACCATACATATAAATACCCGCAAAAACTTAAGAACACACACACACATATATATATCTCACTGTCCATCTTGAATACATAGTAGAAAGAGTAAGCTTGAGAGTTCACAAGCTTGATACTGTATGGAACAAAACTGTATCTGAATCTGGATGTTCTTCTTATAAATATAATAACATTTACTGCTGCATCTGATTAGTAGAAACTATTGTTTTTTTTTCAAAACATATCACACACTTCTTGCAGCCATTTCTTAATATCTGTCATAATACCAGACCTCCAATTTCTCAATATTCTTTTACCCATTTCCCATGTTCAATAAAACCATAATTCCTGATAAACACTCAGATTCTAAAACATTGCCATATAGTTCAATACTTTATCATATTTATTTAGCTGCCCATCATCTCCCAAAGGAGATTCTGTATTGTGAACAATAATACTGTATAATAAAAATTTAAATGATGTATTTTCCCATAAGTCTGTTCTGACCCAACCCTGTTACTAGCAATAAAATCTCGAACAAATGCAGCAACTCAAACCTTCTCGGCTTTAATCTACAAATAACTTCTTTGCAGACAAAAGATGGCTTGCAGCCAATTAGTCCAACCAGAAAAGCCTTGACAGTATTCTTCAGATAAGCCGGAGTCTCCACACACAAGGCTGAGTCCTTAGAATGTTTTTGCTTTCTGCAAGAGCAAAAATCTTTTGAAATCAGGTTTATATTCCCTGGAGGGAGGGGCCATTACGTTGTATCCTTACTCCCGAGTTGCTGTGCTGCTCCAACTGTTCTCTTCTATGAATCATCCTGCGCTCACGTGCGCTTGGCACAGGCTCCTTGGGAACCTCCTTGTCACTGCTGCCAGCCTCCACAATCCCTGAAGGCAGCAGTCCACTCCCTGATGGTCCTGGCCCCTCATCAGAATCATCACTTTCCTCAGCCCTCTGCACCTGCTGCCACCTAACCACAACAAAGACTACAAGTTGTCCTCAACTTGACTGTAATGGAGTCTGCTCATTATGGTCATAAGTTGTGGTTGTAAAGGAAGTCATCATGTAACTGACTTGATTGTACATTTTTTTGTGATGGTCATTAAGTGAATTAATGGAGTGAAACAGAGGACAAAGATTCAGAATCAAGAAGAGTTGTGCAGTTGAATAATGCAACTGAGAGCAATTGGAATACACTGAAATTAATATTTAAGGTGCCTTTATTTAAGGTGCCTCTTGCAGAAAGACATGGCCACTTTCACAACTCTTTTTCATTCTGGATTCTTGTCCTCTGCAACCATCTCAGTGCCATCTCTTAGTTTACCCCAGAAGTTAAATTCTTCTGAAGACAAAATCTCTCTGAAAGCTTTCTCAGTAATACATTTTTGAAGAAACATATCTTGGGTTTTTGATCACAATGTCACAACAAAATAAATACCTTTTTCATTAATTCTTTTCACAGATGAAGTGCGCACTGGTACTTACCGCCAGCTATTCCACCCTGAGCAACTGATCACTGGCAAAGAAGATGCCGCTAACAACTATGCCAGAGGGCATTACACGATTGGCAAAGAGATCATTGACTTGGTCCTTGACAGGATTAGGAAATTGGTGGGTGATTTCTGCTGCTGAAGGAGCCCTCAGTTTGGAAATGTGAAATAAAGAACTGTGGAGATGCAGAGTTTTAAAAATAATCATGCCAGTGACATGATTTGCCGGTTCTGCTGAATTGCGGAGAATTGTAACAACCAGTTCTATAGCAGAATCCCACCCCTGAGGAGGCCCTTGCAGACAAAAACAGAGCTCAGGTGCCCATTTTCAATAGCAGAGTACTCAGGCCACCACAGGCACCCCCCAAACACAAGTGATGTCATGCTGGCCACGCCCACCCCAGTCCCCTGAAGTGGTCCTCAATGAAATAGTTTGACACCTCTGCCTTAAGGTATTTGGAACAAATTTATGGGAAATTAGTTTGACAGTAGCTGGATTTGAACTTTGGGTAAGTCATAAAATGTGGGTTTATTTTTGGTATAGTTATGTTTGAACCTAGTTTTCGATTTCTAAACCAATGCTTTTGCATCATGAGTTGTCAATGGTTTGCAAGTTTAGCAAACAGTGGCTTAAATCATTTTTTTTAAGAGGTTGACCATCTGAGTCACCAAAAGAATGAAAAGAATTACATCTTAGATCAGGAATGATGTAGAGGAGAACTATCAAGACTTTTATTACCAGGAAGCAAATGAGAAGGAAAGACAATTCCCAAGCAGCCTTCTAAATGTTGAATTTAAGTTGCTGTCATTCATGATAAAGGCAAGGGCTGTAGAAATTGGCATTCACCATCATCTGGAAGGCTGGATGGTATACTCTACAATTATTTGGAAGTTACAGGATATTCTCAAACAACTGAAGGGGATTGAATTTCTTCTAGTATTTTCTTGAGTGTTAATAAAGCATTTTCTTGAAAATCAACAAGAAAAAAATCTGGTTCTTAAAATTGACACTGAATCCACTTTGCTTTTTCCAACAGGCCGACCAGTGCACAGGTCTCCAGGGTTTTCTGGTCTTCCACAGTTTTGGTGGTGGTACTGGCTCTGGCTTTACATCCTTGCTGATGGAGCGCCTGTCCGTTGACTATGGCAAGAAGTCCAAGCTGGAGTTCTCCATCTACCCAGCTCCCCAAGTATCCACAGCGGTCGTTGAGCCCTACAACTCCATCCTGACCACCCATACCACCCTGGACCACTCCGATTGTGCCTTCATGGTAGACAACGAAGCCACTTATGACATTTGCCAACGGAACCTTGACATCGAGCGCCCCACCTACACCAACCTCAACCGCCTTATCAGTCAGATCGTGTCCTCCATCACAGCTTCCCTGCGATTTGATGGTGCCCTGAATGTAGATCTGACAGAATTCCAGACCAACTTGGTGCCCTACCCCAGAATCCATTTCCC